AAACTAAAAAGCCTGTTTAAAAGTATCACTTCAGATTACAGATATAAATCTGTTATAAACCTGACGCAGTGGTTACTTGTGGGGTCATTTCAGGTATTGTGTATATCTGGGGTCCACCAAACACACAACCAGTTTATAGTCATTGTGGGGATCAAACTCACACCCATTTTATTCTTTTTGTAAAGTTATTAAAGTAGTAAACTGACTTCAACACGTTTTTTAAAGCAGTTTGTAAAAAGACAATCTACTTTGAATAGATTAGGAGCTCCAAACAAAAAAATGCTCCGCTATTTATAGATTCAGATTGCTTGTAAAACACATTTATAAAAACATTTGATAAACATGTCATCTGTAATCTAAACCGTTTCTCAAAACTCATTACATTAGTAGGTCAGCAAGTCAACAAATAACTAAAACTCTTTCACGCCTGTGTTCAAAGCAAACACTAGTTTGAGTGTAAAAGAAAAAAGCCTGGCTAATGCTCGGGTCTGATTTTTGACATCCTGTTGTCTTGGGCCTCTGTGGAATTTTTGTGACTCCTCGTGCCTCAATCATGTTTTACCAAATCTTAGATTGTCTGATTCGGTCTGATATCCTACACTACTAAAGTTATAAACCTGACGCAGTGGTTACTTGTGGGGTCATTTCAGGTATTGTGTATATCTGGGGTCCACCAAACACACAACCAGTTTATAGTCATCGTGGGAATCAAACTTAACAAATCACTACATCAATAATAACTGCCAGAGACAGAGAGGACCGCAGACGGCAAGCCAACACAGGTGCCATCTTCAAGCGTAGACATGCTTGATGGTATTCAACTAAACCAGGTGTTGCGACCCGCTGCTCCAGTGAGTGTACACAGTGAGTGCGTTTACATATTTGAAACAGAAATGTTTACTCTAACTTTGGATAATTGACAATGATGAGACAGTGAGTGTGTTTACATGCACATTCTTAAGCTGATTATGCTTAATAAGCAGACAACATGTAAATGCTGTAACCCGTTTTCTTTGATCGGAGTAAGGCCATAAACGGCGTAAGCATAAACCGGTCGACACAGGTAGTTTTTTGCCTCTTACCCTCTATGTGGTAGAGGCAGAAAACCCAGAAATACATCATTTAAAATAAAATCTGCAATTCCAAAGCATCCCCTGAATTAGAGAGTGTGTGTGTAAGCCACCTATTGCAGAATAAAAATACAGAACACATTTAACATCTCCAAGTTGAGAGAGAGAGAGAGAGAGACTGTTTCACTGCAAGGCTTAATGCACAGATCCGATCTTTTGACTGTATCTGATTTTTTGTCCTGCCTGTTTATATAACACTTAAGATACGACTTGTATCTGAAATCTGCGTTTACATGAATCCCCATCCAAACTGAATGATTCCATTGGTGATCGCTTTCTGTGACACGGCTGACCCTCGGGTTTTGAACAGCCATATATAAAATTATTAATAGAATTCATATGGAGTGGCTCTTTGACTTTAACGCACAGCAGCTGTGATTAACTCGCTTATACCATGATCACGTGCCAGCATGGACAAGATAAAGCTGTCATTAATGTTTGCTGCTCAAAACTTGACTGAACAGATACAATTACAGTAGTTTTTATGTACAGTTATTTTATTTATGGTTGTTAGATCTAGAATTCTGAAGAGAAATAAAGTAGTGTGGTAAGATTTCATTTATTTAAATGAATTTGAGAAAGAGT